AACAGAGTCAATTTATCAACTATTAGTCAAACACAAAGTTTAAACTGCTTTTCCTGGAAACTTTACATTATTTGACTTGGACCTATGCTACTATCAATGCCAAGTAGGTAATATAGCTATATGTAGGTGTCTTTTGGTTTTTTCCTTGTAGGTGTTGATACATTAATATTTTTGTGAGATAACTTGGTGTTCTGATAAATCAGTTATCAGTAAAAGTATAGAATTTGACATCGAATAATTTGAAATTGAAATATTTCGTCAATATTTTGTACGCTTGGTACATTAAATAATACCTATTTTAGTGCCCCATATTATTTCTAGTTTCAAGCTGAAGTGACCATTAAAATTCATTTGAAATTTTTCGTATTTCACTGAAAAGTGTGTCTAAATTGTTTCTTTTCAAAATATACTTCCTCATTGTCTTCTTCGAACAATTTTCAATTATCAGTTGACAAATTTTAAATAGACCAACACCGAAAAATATTCGGACACTAAGAAAGCAACCATTAAATATACATACTATTTAAAGTATCATGAATATGAATAAAATGAGCATTATACTATAAATATTAAAAATATTAATATTTGTGTAACGTAGTAATTGGACATAATTTCGATTAATTTGTATCACAATGTTATGTACAAAAGTGCGTTCAACTACCGTACGTTATCTTAAAATACAATAAACGACATTTCATAACAAAAAAGTATCAATCCAGTCCTTTTATAATTATCTGAAATACATCCCTATTTATGTATTTATACGTAGAAGCTTTTTTCTCCGAAGCCATTGCAGATATCAACTTGAAATTTTCAGGTGTTAAATGGTGCAGAGGGGCTAACATTGTAGAGTGTAGGATATTGCAGGGGTGAGTTTCTTCAGGGTGGAAAGTGTGTAACTCCTATTTTTCTTAAATAGGACAGTATTTTAATTTCTCAAGCTTTTATCTAAGCCATTTTTTTGTATTCTGCATAGTTATGGAGTTATAGGTATCGTGTAAGTGTCGAAAGATATCAAAAGAAATGTATTCTGCTTTGAAAATTATTTTATTAGATGTTGAAAGAGTTGTCCATTCGCTTCCACACGCGCATTTGTTCTTGTGATAATATCTTTGTGAACATTTGATAACATTGCTAGAGTTATGGATTTGCATGCGGTATAAATTCTTCTTTCCGTATCCTCTTTTGTAGTAGGTGTCGTTGCCATCGCTTTCTCCTCTATGTAGCCCCATAAAAATTATCAAAGTTCATTCATTCGTCCAACAACACAATTTAAGCCACTTAATAAAATAACTTTTAAAGCAGAATACATTTCGACACCATCACGAAGCTTCCGTTGCGTGAGGTATTTTCCGTTATAGCTCCACTTTTAAGAAACTCACCCCCACAATAACTTACACTCTAAAATATGAATCCTTCTACACAATTTAACACCTGAAAATTTCAAGTTGATATCTGCAATGGCGTCGGAGAAAACAGCTCGTAACACTTTATCCGCTCCATCTCGTATATCTAGTGTCCGAATATTTTTGAGAATAACTACATCTGTATAATCATTCTTAAAAACAGTGTTTGACCACTGTACAAATTGTAACAGCTCAAAATCCGGAAATAATTCTCTAGCTCCGAAACAACGCACTAGCGCAAACGTAATTTTCCACATCGTTCTGGCATCGTTTCGTATTACGTCGTGTATCTAATCATTAATCACACGAGACATGATGAACAATGGAAGCAAAAAAAAAAAAAGTGGAGAAAAGAAAAAAAGAGGAACACAGTCCGTCAGTAGGATCGCGTGGACGTATAATCGATCGACCTGTACCGAACGGTGGCAATCGAACGAATATGGGTCGCGTGTCAACTGAATCTAACATTAAGATCGAAGGACAGTTCTTTTTTATCGTGAGATCTCAGTGAATGGTCGTCGACCTTAATTGAAAGACGCGAGTGATTTTCGATTTACCGTGAATAAAGTGGCGATTAGAGATATTGATTAAGTTATATAGCTGTAAAATTGACACGAGATTCTTTTATGCAAATTTTCTGTTGTAGAAGTTATGATTTCGTTTACGTTTTTTCTGCAATTAGCGGCATGTAACGAAAGAGAAACAGATGGTGATTATTCGAAAGTAAACATTGTAAAGGTAAGAAAGTTCCCTAAACCCAGTAGCCGTGTCCCTGTTATTAGAGATAATAGAAGGCAACTACCTGCAGAGTACTCGTAGCTACTTGTGAAAATCGTGGAAACAATAATGAAACCAAACTGTTTTGTTATCAAAGTCAATAGAGATTTGGAGGAGTTTTAAGTAAGTTGTTGCTCAATTTTGTGACAGAGGCATTTAGACTAAATATTATTCTACAGTAATCTTCAATTTGATACTCTTTACCAATTGTTTGCACAAGAACATAATAGATTATATTAATTGAAATATAATATATAATAGTGTAGAGTGTTAATGGATCCTTCTTATTGCTGACGTACTAAATTATTTTCTACCTTACTTGAGTACTAATGAATTTTCTAATTTATTAAAATACCTGTTTCTTAAATTACTAAAATACTAATCTATACTGTAATGTTAAGTTACTAGAATACTAAGGTATTTTTTAACTTTCTGAAATGCAAATATATCTTGTCTTTTAAAAGTCTAAAGTATCTTTTCTTTTATCACAATTCCAAAATATCTTCTTTTACTAAAGTATCTTCTCCTTTATTAGAATACCAAATTCTCTAACCCATTGGAATACTAATTGTATTCTCTAATTTATCAGAATAGAAAATTAGTTTCATAATAAAATCAGTATCATAATACTGTATTCTCTAAGAAGAATTTTTTTCTCAAATGCTAAAGTAAGTACATACTTCCAGTTTCATTAAAATACCAAACTGGTGTCTAAACTAAAACGTCCAAGTATATTCTGGCAGTAATACAGTGGTAGCACATAGCATTATTTTTTTAAAAGTATCTTTTTCCTCAAATACTAATACCTTCCATACCTTAAGAATAGGTACTAAAGTTACCTTCTGTTTCTAACTTACTGAGACAGTAATACATTTCTTAATTTACCCAGAAATATCAGTGTTTTGCAGCAGTAATACTTATAATGTATTAAATATCAGTTTACTGCTAAAACACACTAAGTCAATGTATATGGTGACTAATTAAGTAATTTCATTTACTAATTAACAAATTTTAATTTTATGTAATATAATTATAAAATAAATTAACTGTTACCGGCACTGAAATTATCCTTTATTAATTATAATTTTCGCATGAAATATTAATTTACTTTTTAAAGTCAATATACATATATAGTAACCAATTAATTCCCTTAATGTATTTTACGTGACATAAATCTAGAATAAAAGACTTAATTTAATAGAAAAATCCTTTATTTTTTATTCTGTAACCTAGTATGTATGTAAATGGGAAATTTTTATACGTTTTTCCACAATAAAATAAAAATAGTCATCTTTTGACTTATACTTTGTTTTTCCAGTATATCCACGATACACAAAATATCACACTATTTCCTAAAATGTATCTTTTTCCTGAAACAGTAACTTAAATACCTACTCCTCTCGAATCTTTCTCAAAACAAAAACTACCACCTCCGTGTCACACCACGTTGAAACAAATCACAAGCAAACCAATATCGAACTTTTCGAGTTCTGGTCTCGCTGGTACTATAACACAGGGAAACCATCATTCACGTTACGATTAATCCGAAATTTATGGTGGAAACCAACAGGTGTTGGCATTTGGGCCCTTTCGTTTCTCGCGTGTCCAGCCGTGTAACAAGGCGTACCACTCTATACCGAAAGATTTGCCTAACCGATATGCGTGACTGCTCTTAAACGTTCGCTTCCGGTTCCTCGCGCTATCCGTCTAATCAGATATGTTAATCGTCCCTCATTGCCAGCGCAATCGTGTTACCGTTGATTTTTCCATTCGAAAAATTCGACTTCATCCACTGGTCATTCGCAGGAAAGTGTTGCAAGAAATAGCATTAAACAGATAACACGTGAACTTTTCTAAAAATGGTACACACTTTTCTTCGCTAGGTTTAATCTTTTTAGATTACGCGTTTCTAAGCCAGGTAGAAAATGATCATTTCTTTGTAAACGTTATCGCGATGGAAAAATCGGTATCTCGTAACGCATTGATTTGTTGTTGCGAAAGCTTCGTATAGTCCGCTTGTAATCTGGACGCTCGAACGATACGCAGGACGAGCCATAAAGTAATTAGCCTGCTTTGATTCAGTTTATTGGGAAGGGTTTGTAATATACTTGAGACTTTATTCATAATAGATGCTTACTTTGTCCTAATTTTTATTGAAATAGAGTGCTTTCTTGTTGCTAGAATAATTTTCAATTGTGAATTGTGAGTGACAGAAGAGAATTCTTGGTTCCAAATTTTCGTCCAAGTTTCTTACGAATTTATATAGAGATCGAGATCTTCTACAGTAACACAAAGTGACTTTAACAGTCCACTTTACTCCGATTTTTTTCACTTAACCCTTTGAGACACAATATTGTTTAGATTAGCATCGTACGATTGTTTCTTTGAAAGATAACATTTATACGTACAAGTAGTTATAAATAACCGTCAAATATACAGTTTCGAAAAATGTATTAGAATAATAAAGAATAAAACGCAACCACCTCTAGTTCTTGACTTGAGAAACACTTTTATTAAAAAAATGTATTATTCTTAATATTCAAAAGAATGTATTATTATTACATTTATTATTCTAATACGTTATATTAATACATTTTATTATTCTAATACATTATATCAATACACTGTAATTTTCTGACAGAATTTTTAATAAGAGTGAAGCAAAGGGTTAATCATGATCAGGAAAAGAATTGAACGTGAAAATTTTAATGTTTTCAGCATCAACATCACCTAAGAAATATCCATCGTTCCACTTTCCGTTCACGCAAAACAGAATTCAATCAATTTCGTCCTTCCAATAGATCGATTTCTCCTTACCTGTACTCGTCCTCCACATAATCCGGAGGGAACAGATGCCAGGATGCGTCGTAGCAATCGTCGTATCCGCTTGCCATTTTCCAGCTTTCTCTTTTCCTCTGCTATCCTTCTTTCACCCTTTCTCTGCCTTCCTTTCGATCGAAATCTCGCTCAATTCGCAGAGAAGCTCGCGAGAAAGTCCTGCTGTCTATTCTAGACGCGTTCAACCTCGGAAGCGGCTGATCTTTGGCGACGAGTTCATTCGAAACGATATTTATTTTCTCTGGCAAAGGAACACGTCTAATTACACACTTCGATCGATTCAATTAATCCAATTTCCTCGTTCTTGTCCATCAAACGTACAAATTTCTTCACGAACTTCCTCGATCCGTTTCTTAATTTATCCAACAATACGCGAACGCGCGTTAATTCGAGGCAAGTGAAGGAAATGCAATCTCATAGTTTCGTGAGAAAAGTCGATTCTCTCGAAACAGGAAGGAACGACACACCGCACGACGAGAATTCGAAAAATCCTCGGCTCGACCAATCGGTAATAGGTGTTCTCACTTACTGAGAACTATACGTGGATATATCGATCACCTATATATTGTATCGAAAATATGGCTACCAGATAGGAGCTCCGGCAACGTTATCTGTTTGATAACACCCTATATAGATTAGTTTGACTACTGTAACGACAGAGGGGCCCAAATGATATCGACCTCTCCATTGGCACGATATACACCTCGTTGGGAAAAATTTTAGAAGAGAATCACGAAAATCTGACTTTTTCACTCGACCCACTTCAAATTGATCGCGTATCTTCGATATTTCAAATAACAGAAACGTGAAGATAATAATTAATATGTCGATTATAGTGGGAAAAAAAGAAGAAAAGAGCCCAAAGATGGGGTTTTTAATGAAATCGGAGTTTAATTAGAAAGAGATATTCGCGATCGATCAGTCTGTTCAATCGAATAAGATCGATTTTGTAAGAACGGCTCGCTATTATGAAACCTGGAAATCGTGGTTATCGTTGTCATCGACACCGCGACGGGGGGAAAAAATCGGCTGAAAAATCGAATAGTACGGATAGAAGAAGAAGAAATAATAGATTGCCGTATCTTTCACGTGTGACGGTTTCGCGTCGATATCTCGAGCCAATGGTAGTGAACTGTGTTACTGTTTCTATGCTAGCCTGACACGTAAAGATCTCAATAGATACGCACGTGTAAGTACAATATTTACTGTCACTTTTATTACCGTTTCGTAAGAGTGACGCTTTTTGACAATGCTCCAGCCATGTTTATCGTGCGATGCTTGTAATGCTTCATTGATTCAGTTATTCAATGAAATTCTGATTATCTGGATGGATACTGACGATTTGTGATTACGAAAGTGGTCTAAGTGAAAAATGTCAAAAGATCGAATTTATCGTTTATTTTCTATTGTGTCGATTTACGTGACAATAGTCTGAAACGATTCTTGGAAAATAATTGGAAATGGAGCTGTTAAATCGACAGTGAAAAATATCGAAATATCTCGAAACAAAAAATACACGACTTAGGCCACTTTCATAATCACCGGCACAATTGTACAATTTTCGTGTTTTACTTGCGTGGATTTAATTAATAGTTGATTATACAGGATAGGCCACGTAAAACAGCCCACCTAAATTATCGTCTGTACCTACTTATAATTAATTATAGTGGTACGAGATTGTGGTGGTTATTCAAAGGGTGAATAAGGAGGAAGAAAAATTTCGTTTGCAAATGTCATTTTTTTCTGTGAATATTATTTTGTTCTACTGTATGTTGTAGAAGACATTGATGTGCGTTTAAACTTGCATAATAATATTGACCTGCGTTTTTTCCCATCTTATTTAATTACGTATCCACCCTGTATTTAACGAAGTC